AAAAAAAATTTACTTAAATAAAATTTTATTTATTCAAAAATAATTCAAAAAATTCTCCGCAAAGGCACATTCTACAAATACTTGATAAAGGAGTTCCCTTGTTCTCTGGATTGATTCAAAATTTCTAGACTAAGACGTTGGACATTAGTAATCGTGAACCTAAAAATTGGGTAGGCTGTTCAACGGCGGTTATAAAATAAAAATAAAATGACTTAGCAACCCAACCTAATAAATCCATGATCGATAGGTCATCATATGTATCAACAGGTCCTTTTAATTTAAAAGCCACTTTTTAAAAAAAAATTTACTTAAATAAAATTTTATTTATTCAAAAATAATTCATATTCGAAATATTCATATTCTACGACCATAAAAAGTTAGTTCAACAATAAAAATAAGTGACAGAATATTGTTAAACACTCTGACTTTAAAATATTTGGTGAGGCGAAATACATTTAATGCATACATTACAACTTTGAAATATGTGAATTGTTAAAGAACTGTCCTTCCACACAAATCTTTCCACTACAAACTGATGGATTCCAAGACCTTATCTATGAAGATATTCAAAATATCGTAAAACGGATTTGAGAACAGACAGATAAATTATTGATCCAAAATCTATTTTAGAATGTATTATAAAACTGTATATTTTAAACATTGAATTGATATCTGTCCCCGATTAAGCATTTGAAAAAACTTTTGAGTAAATTTAATTTTTTCCTTGAGAAATACCCTCAAATTGAGTAAAATCGTAGGATAAAATAGTGTTCAATCCTATTAGAAATGTTTTACCGGTTTAAAAAGTTTCAATCAGATAAACCATTTTGTCTCTAATGTGTTACATCAGTTGGTCCTTCAAGTTGTATTCCTTCTCCAAATAGGTGGGGGGAAAAGCAGCCACATTGTGTAAAGATGACCGAATGATTCTTTAGAAATGCATCTGCATTAGTAAAACATGATCAATTTCGGAACGATCCATTGATAAAAAGTTCGTTCTGTGGTGAGTCCTTTTAATTTTGATGGTACAGTGATACGTTGTTAGTACATATTCAAGTTTTATTAGATTAATTTAAAAAAAAAAAAACTTAATTCGCATATGAAAAAATTAAAGCAATTAGAATTTTTGCAAACTTCTTATTGGAACTTAAAAGTATGGCCAATGACCATTTATATCACTGTTTAAATCATTTATATGCAGTTGTAGACAAAAAAAATTTAAATCCAATTTATTTAAGAAAAATTCATACAATACAATAATTACCACTAGAAAAATATTTTCTGAAACTAAGGATATTCCTAAGTTAGGTAAAAATTCTGCAAAAATATTCCATGAAAACAGAAATACTTAGGAAATAAATTCAATACTGTTTAACTCAGATATACCCAGATACAAAAAGTGATATATCATAAAAGTGGCAGTAAACATTTATTTATACTTAGTGGATATTTCTTTCTGCTACCTACCACTTACTTTTTAAAAAAGAACTACCTATTGACCAAATCTAAATATTTGCATTCTTTACATATGGTTGATAGAACTATCTAGTTTCTGTAAAATAAACAAGAATAATCAAACACTAGAACTAACACTGTTCTCTCTTTTGAAAAAAAAAGTAACCGCCTTTTCAAATGGCTTGACATAATATAAATTAACACAAGTTAATAATTAAGCTATAATTTTTAAAACTAAAAAAAAAACTTGCAATTTGTTAATTGCTAATTACTTTCTGAAATTTTAAATCAATTTGGCAAAATGCATTCACTTTTCCATGCCAGACACATAAGCAATTTCACATCAGTATTTCACCCAATATTGTAAAATTAGGCCAATTAATCATTATATACTTAATTTTAAAATCAAAAGTATCTGCAAACTATTCACTTTTCCATAGCATCCGCACACAAACGCATGAGAAATTTCATGTCATCTTTACTCAGTTCATCAATAGATTCTGTTTTGACCACTGATTTAAAATTCGCACTTATGAATTGCGCCACTTTATTTTTGAAAGCTTCGTCACTGTGTCTGTTTGCTAAGACAAATAAGACGCACGCATTATCCACTTGAAGAAGGTCTAGCAATTTTGTTTTGCAACTATCTCGTAAAGAAATCACTTCATATTTGTCAGCGGCATAGTACAATTCCAAAAGTTCTTCAAAGCCATATTCATCCGTTGTACCAGTGTAGATAAAATTGAGAAGCCTCTTCATTGTTTCTGATCCAATGTCTGAGATAGCAATCGGATTCTCCGCGGCTTCATGAGTGAACATCTTTTGGAAGACAGGGGAACGAGCTTGTAATATCAATTTATGAGCTTTGATTTTGTCTCCATCCACATTAAGAACGATGTCCGAGTAAATGGTTTCATCCAGAACTTTTTTAAAATGCAAGGAAAGCTCTCGCAAATTATTCGTCAGTGATAAGTTCTCTGAATGTTTACACTCATCAACAGCATTCCAGTCGACAGAACTACAGGTGATGACTAATGGATATTTAACGGATGGTGGTAATTTGTTCGTGAAGTCTTCAAGAAAATCGATTTCGTCTTCATCATCTTCAAAATAATTCTTCGATAGTGTTTTGCTGTAAATTGTAGAGACCTCGTCTTTTACAATGATAGTGAACGATCTAATTTTTATACCGATTGATGGATTCTGTAAATTCAAGTAAAGACTTGAATATTTACTTACTTGCATCTCAAGAAACGAATTATCTCCCTTTTCTAATTGAAATTCAGAACTCCGAATGCTGCAATCAGGTTTAATGTCCTCTTCATTAAACTGCCATGTGAAAAAAAAGAAATGTTTTGAATAGACTAATAAAAGATTTTTCTCTTGCAGAAAACTAGCCATTTTAGAGCTTATTACGAATTACAAACTTTCTCAATAAAAATATGGTTTAAAAGCACTGTCGAAATTTTCTGAGAGATACGCTATCTATTGTCGTCACAACTGAAGATAAGTAGTTTAATCGCTTCTTTCTGTTCAGCCTTAAACAATGATTTTTTGCAATGTCTAAAACAAGCTCAGAAATATATATATATATATATATATATTAGAATTAAAGAAAGNCATATATATATATATATATATATATTTGCCATTAGTTATTTGCCTTCATCCTCTATTTACGCATCGATTTTCCTTTTTTTCTTTTTTAACCAGGCAAACTTGTTACAAAAACATTTTAAATCATTTTCGAAAAATGCCTCTAAGCGAAAGTTCATTTGAATTCGCTTCTTGTTTCATATATTGCATTTTGAGTTTGTATTTTCTTGAATTTTTATTTTCTGTTTTTACTTGATTGTTTTATTTAGCAATTTTTTTTATTTTTACATTTTTTAATTAATAAGTTCTATTTTAATTTCAATTTTTAGTGCTTCTCACACTATTGTTTTAGTTATATTAACATAATATTAAAAAGCACAATTTTTTTCGATATAATCGTGTGAACTGATGACGACACTATATATTTTGCTTACTTTCTTTTCTTTCCTTTCTTTATATTATTATTATTTTTTTTTTAGTTTCGAAATATTTTTTAATTTGTAAATAGACACAGGGTCTTAATTGAAAATTGCGATTTCTTTCAATAATTCAATAAGTATAAGTGTAAGGTAATGCTTGGAATAACATATCGAATAAGTTACCTTTGCATTCTTTGTATCGTCGAATAAGTTACCTATACCATTGCATTCTTAGTCCGAATATCTTTGCTCTGTCTTTATTCTTAGTCTAAACATCTTTTTCATTTTAGTTAGTTATTTCATATTTTAAACAAAAATTGCTTGAAGGTCAATAATTTAAATTGAAAACTGAAATGCCTGAAGTATTTCACAAACAAAATACGTGTACTAGTCACATTTAATATCACTTATAGAGAAATATTTTATTCAGAACTGATAGAATGTTACTGTGAAAACAAGTTTATTTCGCTTTTATTGCAAAAACTTTTATTCGCTCTTATTGTGAAGATAATTTGCTGCCAGCTTCATTAAATAAAAAAACTGACTTTTCTACCTGTTAATTATTGTAAATTTAAAATATTTTCACGTTCTCTTTAATTAAATTCTTCATAATTACTGCAATTCATATCAAAAGTCTTGGTGGCTCGCCTCCCAATGAGGTGACCCGGATTTGAACCCCAGGTATGGATGAATATACGAATTCCGTACCTGGCTCGCACTGATCACCATGCTGACGTAAATATCTTCAGGGGTAGACGGATCATGGGTGAAACTCCCCCTGTCGTCAGGCTAACAGTGGGAGGTTTTCGCATTTTGCCTCTCCATGTAACGCGAATGCTGGTTAGTTTCATCAAAAAGTCCTCCATGAAGACAAAAATTTCTCCCAATACTCGATCTAGAGCAGGGATTTCCAACTGGTGGCACGCGGGCCTTTTTTTGTGAAGCCTTTGCCTTGAAGCCTTTTTTTGTGGCCCGCGAACTAAAACATATTAGTTTTCTTAACGGACAATTTTCGTAAAAAATCTATAAAATATATTTTAAAAAAAATTTTAAAAAAAAAAAGCCTAATTTTTTTTTGTCATTTGCGAAATTTAACATATCAACGGAGCAAAAAAATTTATTTCTCGGTTTTTGCATCCAAGAAAATATTTATTCAAATACAAAAATAATCGTGTATGTTGCTCTCTTTTTTTTATTTCTTTTTTTAAATCTTTTTTTTATTTTGTGAATATAATTTAGCATGTGCGTATCAGAAATTCTCCAATTTAGCTTTTTGAAACCACTCATTTTGGACGAAATTATTTACATTTGTAAATTTTAAAGTGCATAAAAGAGGGAATGAATATCATGTTTTATCTAAATTACTTGAATTGAATATCGCGTGAGCGGAAAAGAAAAAAAAATAATTTCAGATGCTCGAGAATTTTTTAATTGTTGCTATAATTCCTAATAAGTCGAAAAAATTTTAATTTATCGCAGAATTAAATTTGAAAGTGAAAAAATCTTGTCACTAAGTTTCAGATTAAGAGAACATTCAAAATGATACGTAACAAGCATTATTTGTAATGCTTGTTATTATTATTTTTTTAATATTAAAAAAACTTTTATAAAAATCTGACAGCAATATTTAATGCTCCCTCAAACATAAAAGAGTCCTATATAAAATTTTTAAATTGGGGCCCGCCATTTGACTGTTGTTTTTAATTGCGGCCCCCGGCCTCATGTAAGTTGGAAACCCCTGATCTAGAAGCTCCCTTGTCTTCTAGATTTGGTTTAAAATTACACGGTTGCAGAATTGAACGTCCCAAGTAGCACTCAATATCGATTCATCTCGAAAAAGTTCGCTTACGACGTCGATCGATTTTGTTCCAAAACATCGATCTATAATAAAAACGCCCGCTTTTTTTTAAATATTATGCGACATTGCAAAACTGATATGGATCGATGTTTCAATAACGCCGTAGAATGTCGAGTTTGAAAAAAAAACATATTCCACGGCGTCTACAGATACTGTAGAATGTCGATGAATATTTTCAGTCAGATAGTCGTTTACTCAAAATTGGTTCGGCTGTTCAACGACGGATATAAAATAAAATACATATCAATAGAATCCATATTTTTTACTTGCCTCCTCTTGGAGCAATATAATTTGAATTATTCCATAGAGGTGAAACACTACTTATACTGTATGAAATGCTAAACATGGTTTTTGGAATCTCTTATTTCGCCAAGCAAAATAAAAAAGGCCGCCGTTTAAATACCTTAGACTTGAGGCAAAGCAATAATTTTAAAATATATAATACTATCTTGCAGTAAAGACTTATCTGGGCTTTAGAACAGACAAATAACTTAAATATTTTATAAGTTTTTAAACTTTTTGTGAAAAATCGCCAATTTGGCGACATTTTCACACCCAGATAAACATTATCAAAATCTCTGCCTTATTCTCATTTTTTGTAAATTTTTTATGAGCTCAGATAATGCAGCTTTCGAGTAAGTTTTTAAGTATTAAAAAATTAGACCACAAGCGCTTTTTATTTTCTGAAAACTGTGGTTTTCCTCCATATTGATGTTTTGCGCCATTTTCAGACTAAACATATAGAGCGCTGACTAAAAGATAGGCTAAACTTGATTTAAAAGTCATGAGTAACCGTTGCGATCTCACAGCAGGTTATGAAAATATCATTTTATTCTCAAAAAAGCGTTATTACATATGACTACAGAACTTCCGAAAAGGTTGCCTAATTGTTCGTAATTATTAAATATTTTATTTTTTCTGCAGATCATCCGCATTTTTGAAAAACTCGGCAAATTTAAAAAGAAAACGATTCATCAAAACATGAAGAAGAAATTTTGTAAAAAAACTCGATATTAAATATTTTTTGTAAAATATAAATATCTCGATATTTTATTTTTTGTACATTTTTTTAAAAAATTTAAAGTTCATCAGGTGAAGGTTAAGTCATTAATCAGCGTTGTTGGAACGCAACTGTTGATAACAAATTAGGTCGCAACTTACAAACAGGTCAAATAGAATGTGTGGAGTTGATGTTAAAATAAATAATGCATAATAGCAGTAAGATATCACCTCCTCAATTTTCGTTAACTTTTTTTTGAATAATAAACACTAAAAAACGAGATAAGAATATCAAAATTGCTGTTGAAATTGAAAGAAATGTCAAAGGCTAAGAATTATATTGCCGGGAGCAAAGCGAAATTAAAACAAGTTCGCTTAAAAACAATGGTAAAAGACGTTTTCCTTGAAAACAAAAACTATCCCGTTTGTTTGTTTACATCCCCTTCCCTCCCTCTTCTTTTAATGCTGAGTTGAGTTGTCGGATCTGGTTATTTCCGGATCATCGATCTTGAAGAAAACGTCAAGATCTTGAAGAACTTTAAATGCCAAGATAAATTTAACATTTAAGAGGAAATAACCCTACAGCGGCTACGCGTCAAGTTGCAGAAAAAATTATTTGAGAAATTTAAATAATGGCAGTTATTTTTTTGAAGTATCTAAATGTACGCTTTTTATATTAATAATAAGGAAATAACCTTGTGTGGTAACTGAGATTAATGACTAAGAATAGTCCTTAACAGGATTTTAAACAATAACCTCAAGCCATCTAAATAAAGAAATGGTTAACTACGTAAGGTTGTATCAAGAGGGGGGCAACTGGGGCTGTAGCCTCAAGTCCCCAAATATTTTAGGGCCCACTAAAAGGCACCTCTAAAATGTAACTGATTTTTGTAATTTTTGGAAAAATTGTTAGATATTTCCTAGCGTTATGTTTCAAAATCTTTGTGTAGAATCATTAAAAATTTTATACATTTTTTAAATGTGACATTCGGGGGGGGGGGAATGTNGGGGGGGGGGGGAATGTATTTAGTCACGTTATTTCCTTCTGCCTTTTGCTGAAGTCATAAAAGCGTGGTTTTTCTGACTAGTTTTCTTTTCTTCTTTTATATATATATATATATATATATAACCGTCGTTGAAGAGCCGACCCGATTTTGGGTTTACAACTACTAATGTTCAACTCCGTAGCCTAGTAATTTTGAACCCAATCCAGAAGACTAGGGAACGCCTGGATCAAGTATTGGGAGAAATTTGTCTTCACGGAGGACTTTTTGAAGTAACTAACCCGCATTTGCGTTAAATGGAGAGGAGGACCACGAGAACCTCCCACGGTTAGCCTGACGGCAAGGGGACTCTAACCCATGATCCGTCTA